AATTGTGAATTATATTATATTATATTATATTATATTATATTATATTATATTATATTATATTATATTATATTATTCACATGTAATGCATTAATACGATTCACTACCACAGGGCTCTAGAGTTTGGTGTTGTTTAAGAGTTAAGAGTGTGAGCTATGCGTTAGCAATCCCATATTCTGCTTAGTGATGTTCAGCAATTAAAAAACATTGTCAGTCTAAGGTGCCCCAAATTTCTTTTTCTGTTTTGTATGATAGGCCAAGATAATTGTTAAGTGCTTGAGAATTTAGGACAGTGTTCCTCAACCTTGGCCGCTTTAAGCTGTGTGGACTTCAACTCCCAGAATTCTGGGAGTTGAAGTCCACACAGCTTAAAGCGGCCAAGGTTGAGGAACACTGATTTAGGACATAGTACTTAACGTATCTACTTATTAGAGAATTCATTCAGAAAAATCAATAAGGGGCTTTACATGGCAATCATGTTCTAATAAACACTGTGGACGCAACTGCACAATGTTCTGACCTTTAAACATAGGTGCCCATTTCAGATACTTGTTCAGTCTAGGATTTGTAAATTGCTGTGGAATTCAAGACTCTGTGATGAGCTGCAGTGATCTATATATTTTTTTTCCCTTCAATGTCTCCCCAGCTCTGTGCGGTATAGTGGCTACCATCTGGTTCCCCGTGAGTGCCCACCGTGAAACCATGATCATGAGCTTTGGGTATTCCCTCTACACCGGCTGGATTGGATCGGCTCTTTGCCTTTTTGGAGGATGCATCATTGTTTGTTGTTCGGGTGATGCTCAAACGTTTGGCGAGAACCGCTTCTACTATGCTTCTGGTTCCAGCTCTCCTACTCATGCGAAGAGCGCCCACGTATAAGAGCTCCTGAGACTTCCCGGGCCTTGGTGAAGCATTTTTGAGATGGGTGGAAGGGTTTACGTTCAGTTTTTGGTCTTGCCTCTCCTTCCATCTTCCCAACTGCATCGGTTGTACAAGATTGAAAGAGACAGCCTGGTGTCTGTAAAGCGTAAACATCACATTTGTCTGAATAGAAATAACAGGTGCAGACACAGTCCCCTACGGTCAGGCTTTTTCACTCACAATTCTGTTGAAAGATTAAACCTCTTTTCCTTCTTCTGTCTCTCCCTCCCTCCCCTCTCCCTTCTGCTAGGAACAGAATTAACAAATATGTATCTGAATTGTCTGAAAAGGGTTTCACAGAATAAGTTACCCCTTTCTTCTCTCACTCAAGGCCATCTTTTCTGGCAGTGCTTACCGAGATAAGCGAAAGAAGGCCCTCGTTCCAACTGCAGCAATGTTTTCTTTCTAAAAAGATTGAGGGATATCTCTTTGTTTTCTTAGTCTGAAAACAGAACGAGCACTATAAGGAAGTTGACCATTTCAGTAACAGTGTTTTTTGTCTACATGCATCAGTATGAAGGAAATAAAAGAGACACATCTCTAATTGCAAGATAAATAACAGAAGAACTGTATATATCTCCTTACACATATGCAATGGGACTGATCCTAAATGTACTTTCTTCGGTCTCCTCCCTGCCAACTTGTATTTTTTACTTTGTTTTGATTAATTTGTATTCTGACATAAACTATTGAACTATTATCTAAATTTTTTTACTGTAATTAGATGCCAGTTCAAGTCACGTCCAATGAATACTGATGATGATGCCTTTTGTTCCGAAGTGAAATACTGTACAATATACTGAAATAAATGTTGAAATTAACTAGTTTTTTTTCTTCTCATTTTGCCTGTAGATATCTTCTCTTTCAAGTTGTTCTAACCCAGTCATCCCAGGGATTCAGAAGGTTGCGTGCAATTTTCGTTGTGGTTGGGGCTTCTAATATCATTGGGGAGTTGGGGTTGGGGAGTCAAAAAAGTCAAGATGGCAGTTGCAACTGTGCGAAATCCTGCCCCTTTTACGTGTGCATGACATAGAATAGGGGCCGGGCTTTGACTGTGCAGACCTCCCTGACTGGAGAATACATACCTTCCTGAAATGGAAGGCGTGTGCAAGGAGGATGGTGGAATGGAGGATCAAGGTTATCAGGAGGGAGGAGGAGCATTCCTGAGCAAGCGCTTCCTCAGCCCACAACAAGAGTGTGGGAAGACAAAGAGGATGAGCCTGGCCCCTCCCTAGAGTCTCACGGGGTGTAGCCACTAGTTGCTTTAGCATAGGTTGAGTCTGGCGAGATTGAAGTCAGGCCCAGCCCAAGAATGACAACAAGCAGTCCAGTCCAGTATAGTTCCTTTATTTGCATACACACTATAGACAGAATCTAGCCAGACTCAACCTATGCTAAAGCAACTAGTGGCTATAACCCGTGAGACTCTAGGGAGGGGCCAGGCTCAGCTTCTTCACCTTCCCTCGGTCCTGCTGCGGGCTGAGGAAGCGCTTACTCAGGAATGCTCCTCCTCCCTCCTGATAACCTTGATCCTCCTTTCCAGCATCCTCCTTGCACATGCCTTCCATTACACTTCCTCCTGTTAAAACAAACGTTCTTGTGAGTGAACCTTTGTCTCTTTTGGGATGTTTAAAATTTGAATAGAATTCCTGTTTACCCAAAGTGTGGGGCTTTCATTTTGAGATGCTTTACAAAACTCTGGGGGACTTGGTTCTTTGGGAAAATGGTGTCAAAATAGGATGATTACTGTAGACACATTACAAAACAAAATGCAGCTCTTCCCCCATCCCAGTGGGGGGGAAAATCTTTCCAGATGGTGAATTTTCACTTAGCGTAGAAAACCATTTTGTATTAACCTGAACTGTACTTTCCTGCAGCTCATTTGGACAGCAATTTACATCATCACCAGGAATCCCTATTTTTTAAGTGGTGAGAATTTAGGTCAATAAATCTAAAGAGCTATAACTGTATTGAAATTGGAATCCTGCAGTTTCCTGAAAGTGTTCCTCCGCTGCAAAAGGGGCTTCTGTTTTTCTGTCTTGTTCTTAATGAGCATCTTAATGTTCAGCATTTTGTTTGAAAACTGTTGGCTTATGTTCCACTATAAAACTGCTGCAATAAACTAAGAAGATTCCTTGTCTAGAAATAGAGACAATGTTGATGGCATCCCTGTGATGTGCCTACCCATGATTTACGGGATAAATCCATTTTTCTAGGTTCTCACAACACATGAAACCTAAATTAACTATAAAGAAGGGGCTCTCAGAATATGGCTAAGCTAAAATATGGTTGGCTAATTAGTGGTTTGTTGTACCAGCTGAATATAGCAGTTGAAACAGAAGTCTTACTTGGGATTAGAACTGAGTGGGTACCAACAAGGGAAGGGAAAAAGTAGAAACATGTAAGGCTAGCCCTATTCCTTTGAAAGCTAGCCATATTTCCTGCCCAGTAGTTGATGGTTATACCCATGTTCTCATGATCATGAGAGGCCAACTATGTGCATGACTTATCCAGTGCAAGAGAGGAAGGAAATATAGCACCTTTGCATTACACTGGAAAAAATGACTCATGTAAAAAAGAGCCCCCTTCAGATCCAACTAATAGATGGCAACCAGGAATTGCTTGACCATGGATCATTGTCCTGGGAATGGGCCCTGTACTTGCCACTGGAACGTCACATATTCAATCTGAACTTCCAACAAGCGTTACCTAACTTCTGATCCTATGCCTTGGTGTACCCAATCCCACTGATTTCAATATGCCTTGAGACCACCATTTCAGCAGAGGATCTAGATATCTCTGTTAGTTCAAGACACCACCACTTTGGCATTGAACATGTTAGTAGCAAACTGGCTTGGGAGTCAAACAGACTTAGAACAAAATGTGTGTTCTGTCACTCACTGTAATTTGTTATCTTAATTTCATATTGTTTTTCATTCTCTCGCTGTCTGACACAATGTTCACAATGTGAACCGTAATTCCAGAGCGTCTTGGCAGAACATTTCTGCTCATTACATCACAGGCTCTGGATACAGTTGCTTGTTGTATACCCCCAAAAGAAACAATAACCACTGCCATTGTAATATGTGGGCGCTATAGAGGAATGTGTAACACACAGCTGTGCAGCTTTGTGAAGATTGGCCCAGGGTTGTGGCCTGTGTTGTTTTGGTGTATGCCGCTTTCTGCTCAATGGGCCCCATTGAGAGGGCTGGAGGGGGGTTGAGCAGCTCAGCTGGAGACCAGATAAGGCTGGAGAGCAAGCTCTGCAAAGACGCTTAGAAGATTACAGCCATTCTATCTTTGGACCATCATAAAGTGATCATAATATTTTGGATGGCAAGTGGTGTGAGAAGCTGCAAAATTGGGATTGATTACAGATATAAGGAAGAACAAGGAGAACATGTAGAATGGCTAGTTCTAAAATGTGTATTCATGCTTAATGCTCTCCAATGATGATTTCACGTTACAGTTCTGCTTAGTGTTTTTCAAAACTTAATGTTTTTCATGTTTACTAGGTCCAAGTCTACCTTCCATTCTATGTGCATGTGTATACATAAAGCAAAAGGATGATTGGTCAGGTACTCAAGCATGGGGTGGAGAAACTCAACTGCAATAGGCTTCTGGTCTACTAGACCATCCGAGCAATGTCTCCCAACCCATAGCTGTATCTCCTGCTTGCTGGAAACATCTTAGGTGGCATTTCTAAGATTTTCCCAGGGTCCCTCTTTTATTTGAGAAAGGTAGACCTGCCTGAAAGGGCCCCACCAAGGAGGGCTTGATTTACTTTCCATTGTTACAAAAGAGGGGAAGTAGGAGCCCTCAGGGGCTGATACTCAACAGTCAGTTGGAGCAGCACAGAGATTACAGTGTCACTGGACTAGTAATAGGAAACCAGGTTCAAATCCTCCCTCTGTTAACCAGTTCAGTAGCTGATCTTGAATCAATCAGTCCTTCTCAGCCTAGTTTACCTCACAAAGTCATTCTGAATTGCAAAAGAGCACAGAACACTATAAGCTATATACAGCTTCTCAGAGGATGGGTGGGGTTAAAATAAGTAAATGTAAATAGATAGATAAATAAATAAAAAACACAAGTGAATACTGTATAGAGCTAGTGTAGTGTGGTGGTTAAGATTCTGGATTAGGACCTGTGGGGACATCTATGGCAGAAGGGGGTCAAAAATGTGAAAATGTAAAGATGGTGGCCACAACCATGTTTTGTTTTTTTCATTTTTTCATATATTTATTTTAAATACACTTAAGGAGTGACTGTTTTTCTTCTTTCCATTTATTTTAAAGGCACTTAAGGCTTATCCTTAACTATCTTTTTCCTCAGCAAATTGGCACATTTCCTAACAAAGTATTTTTCTTTTCTGCAAATGTCCAAGGGGGGCATTATTAGAATGAAAGATGATGCAAGAGATAGGTTTTGTGGCATCTTTAATTTTTGCAATTAAAATAGTTTAAAATAATTTTCTATCTTTGTGTGTACGAGAGTATATACATGTACATGCATGTTGTATTTCTCTGAAAGGAAGATCCGTTTCTTTCACATATAATTTATCTTTTAAATTGTCTTAAATTATCTGAGAATTTAGTGAAGGAGCCATCCTTATTTTGGGGTATGGAAGGGATTATATTAAATACAGATTTATCTTCATTTTGGGAAATGTGTGTGTGTGTGTGTGTGTGTGTGTGTGAGGCCAGGTGTAGCGCAAAGCATCACAGGCACTGAGGGAGATTCTTCCAGGCATGCTGAAGTCAATGGGCACCAGACTGTGGAACCCAGATTTAGTAGAACAGTACCTATGGCAAACTTATCTAAGCCGTCACACGTACACAGCAAAATGTTACCAATACATGCTGAAGATCATCTTTGTGAACGAATACAGTCCTGATGCTTCTGCTTTCTGGCGACTCCTCTCTGGGTTGCATCCCCTTTCTCGTTTTATGATTGCATATGGACTGGCTGCCTGTGATGGATGCCTTGTGGGTGGGTGGCATGGGACGGAAGATAATAGCATTCTTCTTTGTTGCAAACACTGGCCAAACAAGGATGGTACTGTGTTCACATACAAGACTATAAATAGTGTCTATCAGTGGGTCACATGGCTTTCCCAAAGGCTATGCAAAGGCTTAGCAGCTTGGTAGGATCACTGAGGGACATTGTGTGGGCAAGAAGCTCCTTGGCTTTTCAAGTGGAGGAGGGACTGTTACAAATGCCACTTGGGCGCTTCTGCACCACCTCCTCCTCCCTGCCTTGCCAGCAGCTGATGGTGCTAGGCAGGAAGGACTCTTACGTACTGTCTCTAGCCTCAATCTCTCTTCTAAGTCCTTGGGAGAGGGAAATCTTAGCACTGAGCTTGGTGGCTTTGGAGAAGACATGACACAAAGCTCACATGGTCAGTGTCAGTGGGTTTGGCTTCTATGGGGAAAGAGTATGGATGCTTACCCAGAGAGACTGAATTTGATTTGCATGAGAGAACCCAAGGCAAGCTGACAAAAACTGGACATGGTCTTCTATGGCGTCCAATCTCCCCCTTGCAATACAGTAATGGCATGGTTTCTGTTCATTTATGGCAAGACATGCTTGTGGCTGACAAGAGAATTGAGCTTCCCTTGAGACTCCAGAGATCCACCTGGTGCCACTCTGGTGGTGGATAACCCTAAATTACCCTCCTCTCTTTGTCACCTTATTGGCAGGTGGAACCTTACTGAAAAGTCCTGGTCCTACTGGTGTCCCTTCCGTGATAATTGGAGCTACTAAACCCTCCTACTAC